TTCTCTATTTAAAATAGCCTCTAAAATTACTCTATTTCACCAGCCTCTTATTTCCCTCTTAGCACTTATCTAAGTAATTATTGTATTTATTAACTTATTTATTGTCTATTTCTCTTGACCTGTAGGTAGTTTCTTTCTTTTCTATATGTTGCTCATCACTGAATATCTAGTACTTACCACTGTACTGGACCACTGTGAGTGCTCAACAGTTACCAAATTATTTTATTTATTGTTTTATGAAGTGTTTTTGTACTGTGGTTAAAAACAGCTTAGATTAGACTTAGAGAACTTTAACTATGAAATATTTCAACCAATTAGCCAAACATGGAAAAATATAGCAAACACAACTACATCAACCATCCATCAGCATTTTGCTTTATTTGTCTCAGGGGTTGGGGGGGGGCGGCAACTGGCTGGTACAGGAATCCGAACCCTTGACCTTGGTGTTATCAGCACCACATTCTAACCACATGAGCTAACTGGCCAGCCCCACCTCAGTTTTTTAGAAAAGAAAATAGATACGGGTACAGTTATACAATTACTCAATCCCATTGCCCTCTCTCCTCAAACATACCCTATCCTCACAGGTAACCACTATTCTAGAACTAGAGTTAGAATAGAACTGAATCATTCCCACTGGATTTCTTTATTCATTTACAACATATTGGGTATTCATAACAACATACAGCATTATTTTACATGTTGCATAAATAGTTTCATACTGCCTATATCATTCTTCAACTTGCTTTTTATTTATTATTATAAATTTAAGCTTTCACTCTATAGAAGCAGTTCTTTCATTAATTTTAGCTGTTCTACAGTGTGCTATTATGTAAATATACCAAAATTTATCTATTTTTCTATTGATAAATATTGATGCTGTTTTCAATTTTTTTTGCCACAATGAACATTCTACCTCTTTGTGCATATGTGTTAGAGCTTCTCTAAGAAGCAAAACTTTCAAGTCATAAGGATATGCACATTTTCAACTTGACTAGACACAGCCAAACTGTGCTCCAAATCATTTGTACCAATTATTACTCCCACCAACTGTATAAAAAGCGCCCCATCAGTGAACATCCTCACCAACAGTTGGTCATGTCAGATTTTTTCATTTTTCCCAATCTAATGTGAGAAATAGTATTCTATCATTTTAATTTACGCGTCCCTGATTACAATCGAGGTTAAGCATCTTTTCAGGCTTATTGGCCATTCTTGTTTCCTTTTACTCTGAACTGTTTATATTACCTGCCCCTTTTCCTATTGAATAATACATCTTTTACTTATTAATCTATAGGTACAGTTCTTTAAATATTCAAGATACTAGTTATCTGTCAGTGATATGTGCTACAAATATCTTCAAGTTTGTATTAAATTTTTCAGTCTTTTCCTTTATGGTTTATGTTTCGTGTGTCTTGTTTAAGACATTCTTCCCTGTTCCAATATCATAAAGACAGTCTCCTATATTTTCTTTTAGTAGTTTTGCTTTATGCATTTAAATCATTAACCCACCTGAAATTGATTTTTGTGTATGTTATGAGGCAGGATCTTATTTTATCTTTTTGCCATTTAAATTACCAATTGTCCCAATACAATTTCATCCTTTCCTCATTAATTGTAAGGCCATCTCTATCATACAATAAGTTTGCATATACGGATAGGTCTACCAAAAGATTCTATTCTGTTCCATTGATCTTTGTGTCTACCCCCCTCATCTAAGTTTAATAAAGCAATCATAATAATCCCTCACACCTGAATAGCACATTAGATTTACAAAGCACTTTCAAATCCATTATCCAATTCAGACCTCAAAATGGTCCTGTGAATTAGGTGTTATTTTATTCACATTTCTTTGAATGAAAACACTGAGGCTCATGAAGGTTAAGTGAATTATCTATGATCGCCAGATAGTAAGTGGAAGAGCAAGGACTCAATCTCACGCTTTCAGTTACCACTCTTTCCACCAGACTCTCTGTTAGGTAAGGACAAGGACAATATCTTTCAAACAGCTCCTAAACAGAGCTATGCACTTTGTCCGCATATAACTAAAACAAACAAAAACATTGATAAACGAACAAATGCTTTAACAACTATGGTTGCTGGGACAAACCTGTCCATATGCTCATCTTGAAAGTAAACTCTAGTCTGTCAGTTACCCTGCCCCAGCGGGGCCTCTTTGCTGCTGCTCACTTCAAGCACAGACAATGCCATGTTGAAGACTTTATTGTCCACCATCCCTCTTCACTTAGCAGTGCTTTCACATCAGTCACCTGCAGCTCCAAAGACAGAATAGAGATGTGACAACTGGACAGTTCCCTGTGTCTCAGGAGGGAGGGGAGGAACACAGCTGATGCCCCCAAACTGGAACTCAACACTTTAAAACTCACATACATAGACTGTGGGACACACTATAGAAAGCAGGGGGCATTAAAGAGCTGTCCAAGAACCCAGCACCTCACTTAATGACAGGCAAGAGTATCTACTCCATAAATGGTTTTTATTGAACAAATAAATGAATTGCTTCCTCCTGACCCAGAACCACTGGTTTCAACAGGCCTTGCCTACGGCAATCAACTGAGAAAGAAAAAAAGAGGAGTCCCTGACATTCAGAAGCGGGCCTGGAGCTCACAGTTAGGCCATGCTATTCTCCTACTGGACATAATCCCACAGAATACCAAACTCAGAAAAGATTACTCTGAAACATTGATGAGACAAAGCCCATTCCATAATTTTGTATAAGCACAGACAAACACATAGCAGCTATGTCTCCCCAAAAATAACCAACATCCTCCCTCTCTTGGCCACTAAGTGGCTGCTACTTCCCTACCAATTACAGTTTTATTCTTGTGCCAATCTCCCCTCCCTACAGATAACATTTATTCACATACCCAACCATAGAATTGCCCGTTTTCTGACAGCATCTAAAGCGAACCCCCACTTCCTTAAACCCTCTCCCAATCATCAACACCTAAATCCTATAATCTCAGTTCTAACATCCTCTTAATAAGACACCCACCCCCACCCCCCAGATTCCCATGCAGTGTGCCCTCCCTTGCTGCCATGAGTGATAAATCCAACTTGGAGGTCTTTGGCTGTAGGGCATTACCATGGTGTATGTCAGACATTACAAGTATCTAAAAGGCTATGCCTTTTCTTTCTGAAAAGTTTTCCCAATCTCTGTTTGACAAGAATACTTCTCATTTCTGGAAGTCATCTCTAACTACATAAAAGAGAGATAACAAATTCCTTTACCACTAAGAACTGGTTCAACATCCAACTTCAATTCTACCAATAAACACATTCATGTACAAAACTTTTTGTTTGTATAGGATAATATGCTTCCTTCTAGATAGTGTGCCCTTGCAAAGCCGAGTCTGTCTGACTCATTTTCATAAATCTGTAATATCTCACATGTGTTAGAGGATCTCTTTCACGAACAGTATTAACTTGTTGCTTTTAAACTAATGGTAGTTGAAATAGATGCCTCAAAATTACAGATGTGAAAGCCCAGAAAAACAAAAACTCAACTGGGGAAAGACTTATTTCTCCCAAAAATTTAAAAAAAAAAAAAAAGGATCTCTCTCCAAAAGAAAATTTCATTTTTTCTCTATCTCTACTTTTTTGTTTGTCTATTTTATTTTTGCAGCTGGCTAGTAAGGGCATCCAAACCGGTGACCTTGGTGTTACAAGGTTGCACTGTAACCAACTGAGCTAACCGGTCTTTACATTTTTTAACTGCTATATATTTCAAACATTTACCTCCATATTTCAAAATACATCAAATATGATTAACATATGTGTTCATATTTCTTAACTAAGAGGTTTAGGTCTTTCAAGAAAAATATAAGTATGGTACATTTTCATTTGTCCAACTAATTTCCATTTCTTTCTATCATCACTCCACTCCCCCTAAAAACACCTTTTCAGCTTCTGGCTTCAAAAATATCCCAGAATATTCTATCCTCATCACATAATAGACCTCTAGAGAGAGCAGGGCCTGAGTTTATTTAAATTGGTCTACATACTGCTTAACTAAATACCTAAAGAGACTGTCATGACATTTGTTCTGTAGTATTTTTTATTGATTGCTGGAAGACCCTGCTCTAGATGGGGACTTTGATCCCCATCTACAAACGATTTTGTTTGTTTTTTACTATTTTTTTAAAGCACCCTGGAGCAGAGTAGAGGGAGACAGCACCGAACATTTATTCATCCGTTCTGTAGTATTTTTTATTGATTGCTGGAAGACCCTGCTCTAGATGGGGACTTTGATCCCCATCTACAAAAGATTTTGTTTGTTTTTTACTATTTTTTTAAAGCACCCTGGAGCAGAGTAGAGGGAGACAGCACCGAACATTTATTCATCTTCTGACGCAAAAGTATAATTTAGTCTGGTTTAACACATTAAATGACACACCACACAATGTCNTCCTCTATGCAACTCAGCAAACCTGAGCTCACAACCTTCAGAACAGGGGGGAAGTCGCTTCCTCGGGGGTCTTGTGAATTTTAAAATTAAAAGGTTAGGAGGTGGGTGTGGTACCCCAAGCAGCGCCGAAACTCGTGAACGTCCGAGAGACCTGGCTGGATCTCTCAGGCCAACGCCATACGTCCAGGCACGGCGGAGCAGGCCACCGTCACACAGCACCCCAGACCAACAAACTCATCCCACCTCTCAAAAGACCTCAACCAACCCGAAGCCCGCCGGGCTCGGGCTCCACAGGCCGCAGACTGCGAACAAAGAGGAGGCCCGGAGCAGCCTCCGGGACCCGCGCTGGACTCCCTGAGCATCCGAAGGTACCTGCAGTCCTCAGGGGATCGTGCCCCCAGCGTGGGATCTGCGGGTGAGGCACAACAAGGGCCACCACGCCGTGAGCGCACCGCGTCGCAGGTGCGTACTGCAGGCTCTCCGGCGCGCACACGGACAGAGGTTGGGGGTCCCGGCGGGTAGCCGGAGCCGCGAACCCGTGAGCTTCCCGCAGCCCGGAGCCGGCCTTTACCTGCACGTCACTCAGCTCCACGCGCAGATACAGCTCGCGGTGTCGCTGAGCCCAGTAGACGTGCGGCGTCAGCACCTGATTCTCCATGGCCACACTGCCCAGGGCGCGGGAGGCTCGGCTCGCTGCCTCAGGTAGTGCGCGGCTGGAGACCGCCGAACGCAGGCCGCAAACCTCCGAGCTTCTAAACGCCGGTAGCGCGGAAGCCTCGAGACACCGCACGCTCGCGGGTCGCGCCTGCGCAGTGGCGGGCGGAGGGGCGGGGCGTCGAGAGCCC